TCCTTGTCGAAATTTTCACCCAATCAAGAAGTTCAAACTTTTTATAGACCTTCAATCGCAGATTCGTGGTTAGGTTTTCTCTATTCAGAATTTCTTTTCACGTCCTGTATTATCAATATCAATTCATCATACATCCACTAACAAAAAAAAAGAATTTTCAGGTTTTAATTAATAGATCCTGAATGCCAATAAAAACTACTTCATTTTGCTCATCTGAACGTTCCTGTAAGACCAACATTAACTAAGATAGCTATTCATTTCACTTGATCATTTGGGATTTTTTCTGATAGGAAAATTTGTTGAAAGCAGTGACATTTTGGAACAAATCACCTGATTCGTTCTACTACACATTTTTTTTTCACTTTTTATCTATCCGTCATTCGGTTGCCCCCTCACGAGCAACCCTCAGAAGTCTTCGAGAGTCTTGTGCGAGCAAGGAAATAATACTCTGATTTTTATTTTATAGAAACTAGGAGAAAAAATCCCAAATATCAGAATCACAATGAAAAATATACTGTATTATCCAAGAAGAATTTCTTATTGACGAATATTAGTAATCACATGGTATACCTATACTTATAGCATATATATCGATATATTATGAATTTAAATAAAAAATACGTCAGTTTTACTCACAAAATGAATAAACTAGATATGTCAGACAATAAGTAGAAATAAAATCAATATTAAAATGTATAAGTGAACAAAATGTAAATAATTAAAAAACCCCAAAACAATATATGAGATAGGTATAGATTAAGATTATCAAGATGAACATACATATATTATGATAGACATTGATAGATGATATAAGTAAGACTACAATTGACAGTTGCCTAGTACTCTCAATATCTAATCAAGTAAAATGAATCTACGAGGAGATGGTCCTCGATTAACCTACAGACAGTATTTGAGATACTAGGCATACAAAGTTTATAGTCTGTGAAAAAATGTTTATCGAATTCTCTTGAAAAAAAAAAGTAAGTACCTACTTACTTTTGGGTTATATTGAGAGAGCATCTGTTTTATCTAGCAATTTGAAGAAATAATTACCATTATTTTTTGTCTCACTAGTATTTCCGGAAGATTGTTGCATAGGTACCTTTTTTCTGGGGCTCTCATTTTATGCAATACGCAAAAGTAATGAGAATACTGCAGCGAAAATATATACATATACTGCTGTCACGTGAAAGTTTCGAATTGTATTCAATTTCATTGAAAATCGTATCTGGTAAAGATGCGTTGATTGCAATTGGTGCTTCATTCAGTACGAAATATCTGTTCCAGTCATGTTACATGAGTTCATCCATCCTTTCAACTTTTTCGATGTCTCTGGCTGGACACTCTCGCACGTGTCCATTCTCCAATTAAATATAGACAGAACGTGTTTCATTTATTGCTGCATTTTCCAATGAAATCATTCGGACACGTGCAGAATGCGAATCTAATGGTCGAGAAATCACTGAATAATAATAATAATAATACGTCTTTAGTCACCAAAGTACATACAAACAAGGATCCAAGTGGAGATACGATATTACAATAATTATTGGTGAAAGGGCGGAGTGTCAGCCTATAAGCTGTTTTTAAACTCAACCGTTGTAAACAAGATGATAGCACAAAAAAGAAGAAAAAGTGAGAAGTGGTACTAAGTAAATAGTAGTTAGTCAGGAATATGGACAGTCGACAATCCTTAATGAGTGGCTAAGGTTCGGTATTAGGTAACCACCAGATACTGTGACCAGAGACCCAGCGAGCACAAAAACATCTCAGAGATGTTAAAAGTACGAAATTTCGAGACATTGAACCTCCACTGCGATGTTCTGTTCACACATGAATAGAACTATTATAGAATAGCCAATGTCCGCCACAGGCGGCAATTATCGAGATGTCCTTGATATGTCACAAAATTACCTGCTCCCTAGTTCTTTTTAAAGCCTTTTCATGGACACAACAGAACATTTTCAACGCGTCTTGCGCACATTGAATCGCTGTAAAAAAACCATTTTCGAGGTACTTTTCTGTAACCTTTTGTCAAAATGAACTTTTGCATTAGGATTCCATTTCCCTTGAATGAAAAAATGCATTAAAAATCGATTGAACATAAAAATATTTTCTTGATATGAAATTACCTTCTTAATCGGTTTTTGAGTAGTGCTTACTACACACAGACAGATAATTGGAAATAGGTTTCCCAATTTTTGAAATGTTCTCCACAATGCATTTTTGCAACTGCGGAGAAGCTGTGTTTTGTTGAATTCGTATTTTTATGTATTGATTACACTGAGGCACCGAACAACACATCTTGCATCTGATGGTCATTATTACAAACTAAATAAGTCTTCTAACACAATAAACTTCACCAAATTCCTTTCTGTTCGTTAGCAGCGTGATGTAAGCGTGACACGCTGCAAACGCGAATGCCAATTGCGAACAAGAAGAACAAAATCGAAAACAAATCAGAATTCATCGTATTGTGACGTAAGCATGAGACGTTGTGGTGGGGCAAACAAAGAAAGGGCACAAAAGAACAAAAACAATACTTTCAATATCCTTCTAAGACCTCTTTGGGAAGTGCATATTACGCCTCAAAAAAACTCCTCATGCCTACATTTCTAAAACATCCCAAAACATCCCAGGGATACCTATCTCAGTAGGCAAACAAAGAAATGCCACAGAAGAACAAAAACAATACTTCAATATCCTTCAAAGACCTCTTGGGTCAGTGCATATTACGTCTCAAAATAACATCTTCATGCCAACATTTTCAAAACATCCCAGGGATGTTTGTGCTCACTGGGGAGAGGATGAAATTCTTTTCTGCTCGAAAAATTAAATAGTATATTGTTTAACGAGCACGGAAAGATAGTAATTTCCTACGAGAATGAAGTTTGCATACTTCCAAATCCTAAAATATGAAGTCGCTAGCTAAACAAAACACATCAATATGAATATTGTAGGTGTTCCAATAAGATTACTTTCACATTATTCCAGACGAGTTAGAAACTTTTGAATAATACTTTTTTTGTTCATTGGATTTGCCGTCGATGTCCTATATATAAATGGCCAGCCCGTTCGACAGATTTGACACCTTTAGACGTGTTTTTATTAGAAGTATAGAATGTGTACGAAACTGCACCTGCTTCAATATCAGATATACGACAGAGAATGATAAATATTTGTAGAAAAATCGACGTAACTGTCGAAAGTGTTCGGCGTTGAATATCGGATTGGCTGTTCTTATGTCAAGAAGTTCAAGGCAACCATTTCGAGCATCTTCTGAACTGAATTCAGCTTATTTCCTCGAATACGTCGATGTATTCAGGCAATTATCAGATGTTCCGCCATTTTGTAGTAGGCCAAGATATTGACTTCATATTATAGAATTGTGAAGTATTCGCCAGGAGCTTCGAAAAGATGTACCACAAGACCCCCCTTTCCATCTAATTTTTTTTTCAGATGGCAACCAGTCGCCATTTTGAAATTTTCATCTATCAATTTCACTTCAAACTATAGTATTCATGCATCAAATTCGTTACCACAAGTTTCAATTCCTTCAGTCGACCCGTTCAAAAAATAGAAGGGGTGGGACATTAAAGAAAAGCCCCGGGCGAAAATACAGCCCATCCTGTTTTTCGTGGACACGAGGCGTTATCTATCAACCAGTGGCCTAAGCTTAGTGTTTTAATAAGGTGTAGATCATTTCACCATATAAAACCTAAATATTGTTTTCCAGTTTTTCATACATATCCTCGCATTTTTTGCCCTCCTATTTTTTACTGGACTAATGACGGAAATAAGGCCCATATTTAATGTTTTTTTGAAATTTGTGCTTTTGTTTTTTTTACGACAAACCTTCATTCAGAACGTATTTTAAATGTCATTATGGGTTCATAAAGATTTTTGCAAGAAATCAGTAGTGTTATAATTATCAAATAATTCTTTTACGGGCAACATACTTGAACGTGGTCCTATCATTACCCCGATGTACCCTACTATGTTGAAATATACCAAATTTGATGTGCAGATTCCATATAAATAATTGAATATCCTCCTTCAAAGTTATCTTATTCGCAAACAACAAATACCAACGTTTAATAATTTTCCACCATTTTCCATTCAGATGTTTACAATGAAATAGGTCTTTCAAGAAATCTATCGAATCATGTTTTTCGAAGCATTTCGAGGATTTATGCGGAAATTCCAGGATTGCTCAGTGAATAAAACATTCAAAACGTCTTAGAGATGTATACAAATTTAATCTTCTTGATGTTGGAAAGCTTTCCTGAGTGGGTACATATTAAAAGGTGGAAAGCAAAGAAATTTGCATTGAATTTGTCTCCAGTGTTCTCAGTCGTAAACTGTAAACTCTGAAATACAGTAACAACGAACTGTCTGTCCGATGAATTTCAGTTATAAACTTACTAATGACAAAATAACTCATCACTGGCCAAAATCTGAATTTCATTTACCCAAGTGAACATTTGAATAGTCACATTTTATGAGTTCTGTATTCATAAGGTCTCGTATACACAAACTTGAATGTCTATACTTATAACAATGCCTTCGACCGAGCGAAGTTTAATAACTGAAAGTTTTGCATCTCAAAGTTCCAGAACTTTATCTCATATTAGGTGGACGAAGAAAATTTAGATCGAGGAAGACTGCTATAAGAAGAAAAATTAAATGTAAACCTACTCGCATTTGTTCGCATTTTCCTCTATATTGGAAATGGAAAAGATTACTTTCATTTCAAAATGGCTCGATCCTCTTATTGTTTCCTATTGCCAGATTCAATTCAATTAGATTCCGAATAATGCTCGGAAAAGTATTGTCAATGTTTCTTTGTTAATAAGTACTAATAAGTTATGAACGTTTTTCCACCATCAGTATAGCTCTAGAAAAAATTAAAATATTCAAACTGGCCTCGAATTAAAATTGAAAATGGTGTAGACCTGAAAAGGCTGAACAAATTCTGATTCTTCCCGAATTCCTTCCAGCCGTTTTTGATGATCTATCGACCCCACGATGGACCTCCACAACATCACCTCCAACATGACGGACCAACACCAGGAGAACCTCTTCCCATTGGTCGTACAAATCATCCAAACCATCCTGTTCACCGTGGTTTGCCTGGTGGGTCTCGTAGGCAACACCCTGGTCATCTACGTGGTCATACGCTTCTCCAAGATGCAGACGGTCACCAACATGTACATAGTGAACCTCGCCATCGCTGACGAGTGTTTTCTGATCGGCATCCCGTTTCTGATAGCGACCATTTTGCACCGGCACTGGATCTTCGGATACATCGCTTGCAAGGCCTACATGATATCCACTAGTATCAATCAGTTTACTAGCTCCATTTTGTTATGTATCATGAGTGCTGACAGGTAAGATTTTTTTTGCACCAGTGACTATACAACCTACCATTATTGACTTCTTCTGAATGCGTAAAGTGTGGTTTTACTACCAATGTAGTTTTCGTAATTTCATGAACTACTAGTCAATACAGATATTGTCAAGAAGTACAAATGCCTATGAATTAACATGACTCAAACTCTCGTTCATTTCAAGATCTTTTATTATAAATTAACTTTTCCAAATTAAAACATCCAGTACAGTAGTTTCGGTCAGGTCAGCGGAGTTCATAGACGTCAGTTCCTTCAAAATTTGCGAAAAAAACGCGTACCGTGCGATGATACCTAGGTAAGCAATATCGAAAGGTAACGGACATTCCCATTGCAGAAAATTGCGAACCTATAGCATCGATTCCGAATATAAATAATACCCGAGTCGATGAGGCATCATTATCATTAATACAAGTCATTAGTAATTATCAATTGCTATGCTAGACGTGGGACCCCAAGGGTCTATATTGGGACCATTGTTATTCCTAATATATTTAAATGATATCGTAACCATAGCAGAAGAATGTAAAATTCACTTATTTGCCGACGACACCCTACTGTACTTTAGTAGTGATGATGTGCATGAGTGTGTTGATACTATGAACGCTGGTCTTGAAAGGGTGAATAGATATTGCTATGCAAATCTGCTAAAGGTGAACGTAAATAAAACAAAATGGATGTTATTAGGAGAACATAAAGATCATAATAATGAAAATCTACTTCTATGATTGAATGACAGTGATATAGAAAAGGTGAACAAATTCGTGTACTTGGGTGTTACCATTGACAATGTATTGAAATTCAAGGAACATGCTAATCAGGTCATCAAAACAGTAGCTTACAAAGTCAATTATTTAAGGAGATGTTCCCCATATCTAAGCCAGTGGTCTAAACTATTAGTATACAACTCCATAATCCTTCCATATTTAAATTACTGTTCCACCATTCTGTTTTTTCCCAACCAGAATGAAATAAACAGACTACAAAAGATGCAGAATCGTGCTATGCGAATAATCTTACAATGTTCAAGGATAACACCTATAGCAAATATGTTGCAAACCCTACAATGGCTACCAGTGAGAAAACTCTTCGAGTATCAAACACTAATTTTCATTTTTAAAATCAAAATTGCATATTCACCTGTATATCTACAGAATAAATTATCATATGTGGCTGAAATACATGAGTATAATACAAGAAACAGAAACAATATAAAAGTTGAAAAATATAAAAAAAATAGTACACATAATTCCTTATTTTATAAAGGAGTAGATTGTTTTAATGACCTCCCACAAGAAATTAAAGAGAGTGGTTCGATAAATACATTCAAAAGACGATTGAAGGATTATTTAATGAAAAATTAGTATATAATTATTATTTTTTTAGTAGTTTTTATTTACACGTATGTATTTTTTATTCAGACTGATTGTATTTTTTCATGTTAATCTAAGTTTATTTATATGTGAATGTATAGACTATTGTGAATGAATTAGTTTTTCAACTAAATAAAGAGATATATATAATGTGAGTACTATTTTTGCAAGTGTTGTTTTGCGATGTGTTTCATTTGGCAATCCATAATGTTATTTTTTCTTTGCTTACCTGCCATGGAGCAAGCATTTTTCCACGATTTTTTCCATTCAATCAATAAATTAATGTCAAATTTTATATGAAAACTGACTCTTGATGGGTGGTGAAATAATCAAAACCTCTCGTCAAAAAGCCAAGCGAGTAGCTGAGTTACGACCTATAGGAGGGTCAACATCTGAGTTGCGACAATAATATACCTGGCCACGTCTGTTATAATTGACCACATTTCACTATTCTGATGCGAGATTCGCAGGAATGGCACTCGAATCTAGTAGGTATTAATCAATAACGACTTGTCATGATATGCCATTATGGCCATGGCTACTAGTATTTAGTTATAATTGAAAAGCACTTCGTACATATAGTAACAACAGGTCCATATTTCAGTTCCACAGAACTATAATGATTAATATGATTTATGATACTTGGCAATAAAATGAAGAAAGTTCCCATAAACAATAGTCGTGAAAGGCTGCGTTTGCTAGATACATGGCGTTGAAGCAAATATTTATAGAATCTTCTTATGTCCTCCCCTATATGGCTTATCGTGGTGGCAAAAGTTAGTCTGTTATGTGTATGGCATGGCATCAAATTTTGTAGTTGAACAATATCTACCTATCAATTAATGGTTGTTCGCTTGTTACTACCTGTGGAAGCTCCATCTGCTTGGCATTCCCTGTTACTCCAGGTACTCTTGCTAGTCTATATCCTTTGAGGAGAACTTGGCAGTCTCGAGGGTTCATTTGAATAGATTTGACGAAGAACTAATATCAGGCTCTAAGAACCAATATGTTCGATTCTTTATAGATAGTGAACTGTATTTTCATATGGTTATATGATGATGATATGGGAACAGTATTCCAGGACAGGTCGGATCTGTGCCTTATAGATCATAAGCAGCTGACTGGAAGTGGAAAAGCTCCTGGCCCGAAACACAAAACCAAGTTTTTGGCATGCACTTTTAGCTATTGATCTCACGTGATTTCCCCAATTGCTGATAGTAATACCAAGCATCGAAATGGATGTCTTCAAAGGTATGGTTACTCCTGACAAGCTCATGTTGGGCACAGTGAGATCGACTTTTCTAGAGAAAAGGCATGCTTGTGTTTTGTTTGCATTGAAATATACCAAGTTATTGGATCCCCATTCGAGAATTGTTGCCAAGTCCATATTTATGTTCTCCCTCTTTCGTTTCTGATTTGCCTGGCTGGTATTGGAGCCCTGGAAGAGAAGGCGGTATGTAGGGTACTATCATCCGCGAAGCTGTGAACTGGACATGAAGTTGCTTCCAACAAATCGTTGATATATGGAGCAGAAATAGTGTTGGTGCTAGAATTAATTGGTCCTTGCGGAACACCAGCATTTATGATGAGAGAGTCAGATGAAACTTTAAGTTAAATTGAGAATAATATCATTCTATTAGTCACAATAATAGTAATAATAATTATAATAGTATCTTCATTAACCAGCTGATATGTACAATGTTAACTAATTATTAAAAGTAATAGAAATACCAATACAAAATGGTGCTGGTTAAAAGGCTACTTAGGATACTTTAGTTAGGGTTACTACTTATAGTTAGGTATTGTAGCAGATTGATGGTCCACATTTATGTTGTCAACATTCCTTCAATTGCAGGTATATAGCCGTCTGCCACCCTATATCATCCCCGAGATGGCGCACCCCCTTCATCTCTAAAATCGTCTCGCTTCTCGCATGGACGTCCAGCATCTTCCTCATCATCCCCATCATCCAACACGCCAAGGAGATCGAATATGGCGGCAAAAAGTCGTGTGTCATCGAATGGGGAGACACGGATAACGTCACCTACTACGAGATCTACGACAATGAGGTTAGGTTATACACAGTAGTTGAATTCACGTCATACCATCAGGTTCTCGGAAAATCACCGATACTGGCGATACATTTCTAGCCGTTTGAAAATTACCGTGGTATTATTGATGATTTTAGTACCTAGGAATAGACCAAAAAATTCTTTAGAAATATGAAATTGGAAGGTATTTGAGCGATGTTTCTATTTAAGAAATGAAAAAAAAATAGTTCACTCGCATATTTCAATAGTTTTTCGAAAAATGTACGAAGCTCTGAGGAAAGAACTGTTGCGAAAGTCAACAATTTAGGGTTAGTACTTCAAAATAATGGAATTAAATGAATTTGTTGACCGAAACAGACGACGGACGAACTCGACAGCGCCCCGGCGAAGATCTTCACCCTGTACACTTTCATCTTCAGCTTCGCCATACCGTTGGCGCTGATCTTGGTCTTCTATTGGCTGGTGATCAGGAAGCTGAAGACCGTAGGGCCGAAGAACAGATCGAAGGAGAAGAAGAGGTCTCACAGGAAGGTCACAAATCTGGTATTGACCGTGGTCACGGTCTATGTTATTTGCTGGCTGCCATATTGGATTACGCAGTTGGCGTTGAACGGCAGCACTGACACGTAAGTGAACAAGTTGAATTTTTTAATTTGTTGCCGGAAAATACCGCGAAATGTTACTAATCACAATGAAATATTATGCAGGGATGCTTGAAAAATGCAATCATTCTGTCTGAATCGATTGCCATTATCAAAATCTTCGTAAAAAAATGTCTTATCAGTTTTCTCTGATTTTGCTGGTGTTTTTATGACTAGGATAGGATGTTGTGACAAAATATATAATTCTGGGTAGATTACGAGAAAAAAATTCAAATCGCCCTAGAAATACGGAAGTACAGGAGTGGATGGACCGAATTGTAACACACTGTAGAGCGGTTTATGTGGCGTTTTTGATACTTAGACAAATCAGTGATAAACCCACGACCTTTTTTGCCGGTTAGTTGGCTATGAACACCCATACATACACCACGTAATTTCTCTGTTATCAGTTAAAAAAAGCATCATATTTTGTGTGACTTATCGTATAATTTACCTATTATTTATAATTGTACATTTTTCTCAAGGTTTTCAATTACTCTGCATCTGCTCGCATCTTGCATGAGCTATTCGAACTCTGCCGTCAATCCCATATTGTACGCTTTCCTGAGCGACAACTTCAAAAAAAGCTTCTTGAAAGCCTGCACTTGCGCTGCCAACAAGGACGTCAACGCGACGCTTCATTTGGAAAACAGCGTTTTTCCGAAGAAGCTAAAACCTGTTTCGGAAAGGTGAGTATATAGGTAAAGTTTATCCAAAAATAATTGCAGAACGTTTCGTGCCGCACCTGCTCTCCTCATAGTCAACACTAGGCAAACATCTACATTCATTGAAAATGGGAATTAGATATCCTTCCGATATAATAATAATCGTTGACATAACTACAATACCCCACCGTGACACCCCATAGATATCAGTAAAAATTGACTGCCATGGATACGCATTTTTCAATTCTTCACGTTCGCGTTGGTAGTGGGCTTACAGGTGTACCTTATCTCACGTACTTTCACGTATACCTCAAATATCAAACGTACGTTAACCAAACTAATATGCCGATGAGTCAAAATTATCAAATTCGGGATCCCAAGGAGTTCTCTAATTTCAGCAGGAGTAAATGTCAAGATCTAAATTCTAAACAAACAACAAAAAATTACTAATACAAACCGAGAACAAAATGTATTATTACGTTACGATGACAATGACGACCAAAGTGACAACTTCAACTCATTTGAAGACAATACGTAAGCGTTATTTTTCGTACGATAACGTCTACGTGGAGTTCTACTTTCAGTGATTTCTTCAACTGTCTTTCGATAAACGTATGAAGAAAGAATTCGATATCGCAAATATCTCGTGTCATTGGAAGCTAGGATAATGCATATGGTTTGCGGCAGCTGTCGGGAGGCACAACATATCACGTGATAGAACGGTTCGAAATATTTAGATTCAGACACTTCTGACTGTTGACAGATTGCGGCCGAGCAGGACGAGAGGCACTTCGATTTGCGCCAACGATGACGACGAGGACGCAGGAGGTCCTCTGGTGAGCAAAGGCGACGCTTCGACCTCGGCTGTCACTGTCAACAGCCGCAACACGACGATGTGCGATAGCAGCGACAGTGTGTCGAACAGGAGCACTAAGAGCAGCCTGATGAAGAACGGTGGGTCGACCGTGTCGCAGCCTACTTCGCTATAAAAGGAGCGGCGAACGGACAATTTTTCGATTTTTGCCGGTGTTTGTTGAGATTTTGGAGTTGAGTTTGCGCAATAGTACGAAGAAAATGGAAGTGACCTAGACCTTGAACAAATAGTCAGCCAACAAAAGCGCCGTCTACGCAGTAATATATAGGCATTTTTTCTTCCTTTCTTCCGCTCTTCTTTTGTTTCTTACCTTATTTTTCTCTTTCATTGGAAAATATATGGTTATTCTTGTCCATTCAACCTTGAATGTGGGCGTTTCAAAATATATGACATAAGGAATCATTTAAATTTGGAAATAAACTAACATGCACTACACATTTCGTAATTGTTTATATTGAAATGCAGTCCATTACCAATACGAAAAGTGTTAATCTATCATCATTGGTCCTTCGAGCCGGATAGCCGGTAGAAGAAAAATTTCTAGTTCGAGTTTCTTTTTCTTTCTCTTTTCCTCTCTCTCTTTCTTTCTGGTTATTCTTGTACGCCCATTTATGCTTGAATATTACGACAGTAAATGCAAACACTTCAAAATATTTACGTCATGCAGAATTACATAGGGAACCAAGGGTCGGAGCTCTAGTTTGTCACATTTTCAGTTGACAAAATGAACTGTGATCAGGGATTTTTATAAGAATTGTTTGTTAGTCTTGAAGAAAGGATATAAAAGAGTGAAATGTCTGATTTTCGAATTTTTGGTTTCAAAATCAATGTAGAGACGAATTATTATTATAATAGGTAGGAAAATGAGCAGGGTATTTTTTATTATCAATAAATATTGTTATAGTAGGATGATAAATATACATATATAGGTAGATGTACAAAAATATGTTATTCATATATAGTGATTTCGAAATTTCGTGGTATTGTCATTCTATATTATGTCTATATAGATGTCGTTGAAGTTCTGATTTGTCTTCATTTTTTATAGTATTCTCAATGTTAGCTTACATAAAATGAAATAGTACTTATACGTTATAATAATAAACTCATTGAGGTGGGCTAACTGGGTCATAGTTTTCTGAAAAAAGTGTTATTGTACGTAAACACCATAATCCGAATAGCACTATCTGAATATAAGTAGGTACTGAATTTGATACGGTGAAAGTGAAAGGTACTTATGAAAAAGTTCACACGGTAAGCATTTTCGGAAAATTCTTAGTAACACGAGATGTTTCGCTAAACATAGTAGCTTTCTTCAGGTGGAATACTCTGGTACAATAAAAAAAAGTGAAAAGTACTGCTGGATGATAACCAATGTATAAAAATTTCATTTATTTTATAAGATTTCATAAGATTTTATATGATGAGCCCATAAAATCTTATGAAACACCATTTTCTTTCTTTGAAGATATATTTATAAGAACTGCTCTGTCAATTTCTGATGAAGGGCCTGTCGTCATCACGTCGTCAGCACTATGTATATAATATACTGCGTATGAAAACATATTTTCTCGGATGGAGATTGGAGAAGATAAAATTGGCAATTTATTAGGTAAATATTATGTATTAGACAGGGTGACATTGGAATTATAATAGTTATCATTATATTGTATTATTCATACCCCAAGAAAGCTCAAAAGTAGCAATGTATTCATATAGTATCAGTGAACAAAATTTGTGTTCAAAATAGAATTTGGGACAAGCCCCAAATATGACGTCAACCCGCTTCTGTATAAATTTTCGTGAGAAAGAGATCGATTTTTTCCTTCATTTTCTCTATAATTTTCAGGATGATATTTCTGGTTTATACCTCGTTTATCCTAGAATCCTAGAACACTCCTCAAATAATCTAATATATTAACAACTTTTTCATTGAATATATTGATGTGTTCAAGAGGTACCCATCTAAAGATATATCACATATTTTGAAATCATCCTGTAAATATTACATGGATCTATAGGTACTTGAATCTGAATATCATGTGAAGATATATGTGAAGATTCGAATTTAGTGTTCTGTTATAACCTGTGATATTAAAAATAGTCAAAATTTTCATAGAATTGTTAATGAATATATCTATGTATATAACGATCACACAATATATGAGGTGTATAAGAGTATGGAAAATGCACTTCAAAAATTTTCAATTATCCAGGTCGACTCCAATGTTTTTGTGCACAAAACGAAATAACTGATCGTTGTAAGAATTGATATAACTTTTTTACGTTTCATCAATGTTTAAATTTGCCAAAAAATATCAATATAGTGGTGTATCCGTAGGTTACCCGGTATATATTATTATGGAAATGAGATCCGAACAATGTTAAATAATAAATGTATCAGTGTAAATGTGAGCAAATATTTTCTGTAAATAAATTAATCAAATCACTTCCGAGTTTTATTTGAATAATCGGCAGAGGCATTTGGTTTGTTTGCATTAACTCCAAAATTTAGTAATTTTTGGACCACCAGGAACATTCTTCAAATTATCCCAATCCTATTAACATTTATAGTGAATATTTTTTCCGGAATCTATGATCCATTATGCTAATTTCAAACAGGCACCCTGTATATGATCTGGAAAATGAATTGTACATGATCTAAGAGTTAACCAAGAAACTTAGACCTTAGAGCACTAAATTATGAAGGTTAGGAAGTGTTGTGTTCTATGGCCATCACAGAAATAAAACACGTTCTGTGTTCTGTGGTGGCCATAGAATCTTCTCCTTCCACTATGGCATCATCCATCATTCAATTGTCAATGTTTTAATTAACATAATATTTTCCATTTGAATTTTGAAAATTTCCATTACAATCTCAAATATTCAAATCAGGTCGACGACCCCATTCGTGGGCATTGATTTTAAAATTAATAGCGGTGGTGGTAGTAAGTTAGTAAGTGAATAATTATGATAAGCAAAAGGCTAAGTGAGGTTCAAAAATCTTCATTTATCATCATTTTCCAGAAAAATCATGATATTATCACACTGCTCCCGATAGTGTCTAGTGAAATTCAATTAGAATAGATTGAAATGGAATATCTCAAAGAACCTGCATTAGTTGCAAAAGTACAAGAATACTTTGGAGTGCAAAGGACACAGGTGAATAAATCAGGAAGCTCAACAAACTATGAAAAAGGGTACATAATCAAAAACAAATTCTGGTACTTCCTGTTTGTTTTCGGAACTGCATTGGGAGATGAAACATTTTACTCAGTTTTCATCCCCTTCTGGTTCTGGAACATTGATGGAGCTGTCGGAAGAAGATTTGTGCTCACTTGGGCTACTGTAATGTATATTGGTATATAAAGAACCTTCTTTTTTGCATTGCCAAATTTACATAGTGATATATTTGTGTAGGTCAGGGTGTGAAAGATATAATTAGATGGCCCAGACCAGGGTCTCCAGTAGTGCAATTGCAGAATAAATGGTCCCTGGAGTATGGAATGCCTTCCACACATGCCATGGTGGGAGTTTCTATACCATTTTCTGTTCTGATATTCACAGTAAACAGATACCAGTACAGTGTTCCATTGGGATTGTGTATTGCTATCCTCTGGTGCTCTTTGATTTGTACCAGTAGGTTGTACCTTGGCATGCATACAATCTTGGTAGGTACTTCATGTATTTACAAATTTTTTCTACAGTTGGAAATATTGTGTGCTTATTTGCATCTGAGTTGTAGAGTTAATCTTGAGTTCATTGATTGGCAGTTATTTTAGGTAGGTAGGTAAGTAACAAACTTTGATGATTTAAAATTGAGTAGCTAATGAATTGAACTTTGGTGTTCTGTCTATTATTTTATTTTATCAGCATACTTCTGTACATTGGGCTTCAGATGAAACAACAATTGGCTTTTATATTTTTATTACTGTACAATGTGTGTATTCATTCATTCCTTAGACAATTTCCTGTTGAATGTGGTCATTGAATCATTAAAAACAAGGTGGTTATAAAAAAAAAACTGATACCAAAGTGATTATCAGATTATATAATTATTATGAATTTGATACCTGGTTTAATCAATCTAGGTACTCATGAAATGAAATGATTATCAGATTATATAATTATTATGAATTTGAGACCTGGTTTAATGAATCTAGGTACCCATGAAATATCATTAAAAATTTGAATATGAGAAGCAGGCTAGTGTAACAAAAGAATGTCTGCACATGATCATACCAAACTGTGCAAATTTAAATATTTTTCAATGAAATTGTGGTTGTTCTTGAGAAAGTGGAGAAATTATTTGTGAAATTGAAAAGAAAATAAATGTTAAGTAGATAATAAGTAAGTGTTCAATATGTGAAGCCATTGTGAAACAATATTACCTACCTACCTAGTGATAAGAGTGTATTAACCGGAGGTTTTCACAATTTTCCAGTTGGTGAATCATTGTTTTGCACAATATTTCACATTCAAATAAACAAATGAACGTTTCCTCTCTCAATATACTCAAGGACCTAATAACTTTTGTTGCTTCATTGATATTTTATTGGCCAGACAACTTCTCAAGCAACTTTTACTTTCATAGATGATGAAAATCTGATTTTTTCATGCATGTTCAGCATCTAATATTAAAAAATTGTCAAGTGTTTCCATCATATCTAAATGTTCTAGTAGGTACACCAAGAAAAAAGTTTGTTTGTGTATTTTCTGGATATCATTGCTGGTTTGGGACTGGCAATTGCCATAATGGCCTTCATGATACCTTTGATAGACTAGGTTAATTGATATTTTGTTGACCAGACAATTTCTCAAACAACTTTTACTTCCATAGATGATGAAAATCTGATTTTTTTTGCATGTTCAGCACTTAATATTAAAAAATTGTGAAGTTCTTCTATCATATCTAAATGTTGTAGTAGGTACACCAAGAAAAGAGTTTGTTTGTGTATTTTGATGATATCATTGCTGGTTTGGGACTGGCAATTGCCATAATGGCCTTCATGATACCTTTGATAGACTAGGTTAATTGACATTTTATTGGCCAGACAACTTCTCAAGCAACTTTTACTTTCGTAGATGATGAAAATCTGATTTTTTCATGCATGTTCAGCACCTAATATTAAAAAATGGTGGAGTTTTTCTATCATATCTTAATGTTGTAATAGGTACACCAAGAAAAGAGTTTGTTTGTGTATTTTCAGGATATCATTGCTGGTTTGGGACTGGCAATTGCCATAATGGCCTTCATGATACCTTTGATAGACTAGGTTAATTGATATTTTATTAGCCAGACAACTTCTGAAGCAACTTTTACTTTCATAGATGATGAAAATCTGATTTTTTCTTGCATGTTCAGCACCTGATATTGAAAAATGGTGAAGTTTTTCTATCATATCTAAATGTTGTAATAGGTACACCAAGAAAAGAGTTTGTTTGTGTATTTTCATGATATCATTGCTAGTTTGGGACTGGCAATTGCCATAATGGGCTTCATGATACCTTTGATAGACTAGGTTAATTGATATTTTATTGGCCAGACAACTTCTCAAGCAACTTTTACTTTCATAGATGATGAAAATCTGATTTTTTCATGCATGTTCAGCATCTAATATTAAAAAATTGTCAAGTGTTTCCATCATATCTAAATGTTCTAGTAGGTACACCAAGAAAAAAGTTTGTTTGTGTATTTTCTGGATATCATTGCTGGTTTGGGACTGGCAATTGCCATAATGGCCTTCATGATACCTTTGATAGACTAGGTTAATTGATATTTTGTTGACCAGACAATTTCTCAAACAACTTTTACTTCCATAGATGATGAAAATCTGATTTTTCTTGCATGTTCAGCACTTAATATTAAGAAATTGTGAAGTTCTTCTATCATATCTAAATGTTGTAGTAGGTACACCAAGAAAAGAGTTTGTTTGTGTATTTTGATGATATCATTGCTGGTTTGGGACTGGCAATTGCCATAATGGCCTTCATGATACCTTTGATAGACTAGGTTAATTGACATTTTATTGGCCAGACAACTTCTCAAGCAACTTTACTTTCATAGATGATGAAAATCTGATTTTTTTCATGCATGTTCAGCACCTAATATTAAAAAAATGGTGGAGTTTTTCTATCATATCTTAATGTTGTAATAGGTACACCAAGAAAAGAGTTTGTTTGTGTATTTTCAGGATATCATTGCTGGTTTGGGACTGGCAATTGTCATAATGGCCTTCATGATACCTTTGATAGACTAGGTTAATTGATATTTATTAGCCAGACAACTTCTGAAGCAACTTTTACTTTCATAGATGATGAAAATCTGATTTTTTCTTGCATGTTCAGCACCTGATATTGAAAAATGGTGAAGTTTTTCTATCATATCTAAATGTTGTAGTAGGTACACCAAGAAAAGAGTTTGTTTGTGTATTTTCAGGATATCATTGCTGGTTTGGGACTGGCAATTGCCATAATGGCCTTCATGATACCTTTGATAGACTAGGTTAATTGATATTTTATTGGCCAGACAACTTCTCAAGCAACTTTTACTTTCATAGATGATGAAAATCTGATTTTTTCTTGCATGTTCAGCACCTGATATTAAAAAATGGTGAAGTTTTTCTATCATATCTAAATGTTGTAGTAGGTACACCAAGAAAAGAGTTTGTTTGTGTATTTTCAGGATATCATTGCTGGTTTGGGACTGGCGATTGCCATAATGGCCTTCATGATACCTTTGATAGACTATTTTGATGAATATTTGCTCACAAGTCCTACTGCCCCCTTTATTACTACTAGTTACCTCTATTTTGATGATAGTCTACTATCCAAATAGTGGTAAATGGACACCAACAAGGTTAGTGAGATGCATGAATTCATATTAAGTATCATTTAAGGTAAAACTGAAATGACATTTGGAGAAAACTGCCCCAGGAACTTGCTTTTTTTTTCAGTGTTTTCAAACATTTTTGTTGTAATTTGACATTGAAGATGTTAAAATATTTCATGATCATTTTCTGAATAACTCCATTAACTTTGGCAACATTCATCATCAGGAGTGATTCACAAACATGAGTGAATGAATGACACATTTATAAGTTTGTGGAAAGGGTTAATATGAGAATTAAGTAATGAACAAAATTGTTTCTCAAATTTTGACAACTAATTTGACACTTTCCAAAACATAAAATCCATCAAAGCATTCTCACCGAATTTTCCAATAGCTTCATATATCATTCTTTATTAATTACACTTATAAATTGGTGTACCTTTCTGAGAACATATATCCAATAAAAAAACAACTTTATTATTTCTCAAATTTTGAAAAGAACTGATATGAAACCACTTTTTATATCTAACTCTCAATAGGCAACACCCTCTTTTGTAGGGAGGCAGTACGAACGCCAAAGTTGATACACTCCCCTCATAAGGGCACTTGACGTGATTCCATACACTTACATACAGTATTAATCTTTTGACTATTCAAGTTGATATTCAACACATTGACAAACTGCTCTTTAAACAGACAAGTTTTCAAAAAATAATAGAGTTATGATCTGTGTTTAGGAAATGGAAAATTTATTGTTTCTGAAAACTTATCTTGAAGACACTCATATACTCCAGAGCAGTAGATGGAATTCATAGAACGATTCTTCTTCATGTATCCAGTGAAATGTTTGTAAAGGACCACCTCCTGTAATAACTCTTATTTTTGACAGTGGAAAAAAATAAGAAAAATGAAAAAGTGGCTTACAGGGAATATTTTTCACTGAATCATCAATCAGAAGATGAATTTTCACAATCTACGAAAATGTTCAGGGACTAGCAAAGTTTATGAATTTCGAATACCCAAGATTATCTATCTTATTTCTCAACTTATGGGCATCCAAAACTGACAGAATTTGATCGCTTTCTAAACGATTTTCATGAGAAGGCCATAACAATTAGCACATATCCAGGTATATTAGCAATAGCCACTATATTGCAATCATTGTCATGGCCTACTCTCCAAAATCATCCAAAATCGATGGAACTCTGACCATATTTTTCTTTCACCCTTTCCCGTATACAGACAAGCTTTATTCGGCATTTCAATGAATACCATCCACCAGAATCATAAAATACACATTCTTGCCTTAACTGTACTCGAAATTACCCGTTCAAGCTATATTTGGCATTCCAATTCCAATACAGGGCGTTTGGAGTATATGGACCGAAAACACTTTTCAATAGCGACAATTTTCAATACTCATTCTTGGTCTCACTGCACTCGAAATTACCTGTTTTCGTCCACAGACAAGTTATAGTTGTCATTCCAATACAGGGCGTTTGGAGAAATTGGGCAAACAAAATTATTTCGACGCACAATCGGGCCACGATTCTAACGAAATTTGCCAACAAAATCCTTCACTCTTACTTGAGGAATACACCCCCTTTTCTACTTTGTCTTTCTAGCTATATTTCTGAAATCTTCAACATAGAATTAGCTCACTAGAGGGCACTTTCTAACATTTTAGTAAGTTTTTTTCAAATTTTGGTAATACTGGAAATGACATCAATTTTAAATTTTCAAATGAAACACCCATAATCAGTTAGAGATTATTGTGAGGAATTCAACAATATCTGGTTTGAACCTGGTATCGTTGAATTTGCTATAATAATCTCTAACCGATTATGGAATGAAGTATAGGAAGATGAACAAAATTCCTCAAATTTTAGAAAATTTCCCCTACTGAGCATTTGGATGTTCCAAATTCCAGAAATATAGCTAGAAAAACAAAGGAAAATAGGGCGGTATACCATGAGTCGTGCCACCCGGTATAAATATATAAGAAATCAGAGAAAAGAGCTCTACTGTTTAGTTAAATGAAATGTTCCATATAAAAAATACCAGTTTATGTAGAATTTTTAGGTTTATGATGCTTTTTTGCATTTTCTAATGATATACTCTGGATGCCCATAAAAAAATACATTTTTGTCCATTTGAACATTTCTGTCAGACTAATATCAACTGAGATAGCTATTGAGTAATTTATAAATAATTATCGTGTACATATAATTTTTTAGGGGCGACACCACCATGATAATCTCAGTGTGCGTTGGAATCCACGTGGGCGCTTGGCTCAACTACCGTACCGGTCTGATGTCGCCCACCGATCTGTCGCCGCCATATTTGATCATGTGGCCCACCTACTCGATGCTCGGCTGTCTCCTTCTGAGAACCGTCATCGGTTTTACCGGCGTTTTGCTCACTAAGATCGCCTTCAAACACGTGACCTACACGTCGTTGTGCGCCATCTTGCGGGAGGACGTCGATAACCTCAAAAAGTCGGAGAATACTTTGCAGAATAAGCACAAGACTTTTGTTGAGCTCAGCTGCAAGTACGTTTATTGCGCTATGATCGGGTTCAATTCGTTGTATTTGTTGCCGCAGTTGTTTAGGTTTATGAGGATTGAAAGGCCGACTTTTTTCACGGAAATATAAGGGCTTTGATCATTGACATAAGACTGTCTAGACCGCCATGTCAATTCCCAGCTACCTGAAAATCTCGGTCAAATTGATCGTCTGAAAATGCCTGAAAACTACCAAGCTGTCTTCATGACATCTAGTCATGTATCTTTTCTTTTGGAAACATAAAAGCCTTCGCTACTTAACAAAAAGTAGTTTACCTTGTCGCTCATAAGATATATGACTGGTACTGAATACGAATGATTCATGTTCTCTACTTCTCTCGTGGCTTAAATTTTGCTTTATAGCATTAGCGGTCTAGCTAGTAATTTATGTCAATGGTCAAGTTCATGTGGAAGCTATATTGACATGCTTCCCATCGTTTTATCACATTTTGCTGCCGAGTTTTTGGTGGAAAAATGAGGTCATTCAATTTTTGTACTGTACCGGCGTCATGCTCACCAAGATCGCCTTCAAACACGTGACCTACACGTCGTTGTGCGCCATCTTGCGGGAGGACGTCGATAACCTCAAAAAGTCGGAGAATACTTTGCAGAATAAGCATAAGACTTTTGTTGAGCTTAGCTGCAAGTACGTTTATTGCGCTATGATCGGGTTCAATTCGTTGTATTTGTTGCCGCAGTTGTTTAGGTTTATGAGGATTGAAAGGCCGACTTTTTTCACGGAAATATAAGGACTTTGATCATTGACATAACTGTCTAGACCGCCATGTCAATTCCCAGCTACCTGAAAATCTCGGTCAAATTGATCGTCTGAAACGCCTGAAAACTACCAAACTGTCTTCATGACATCTAGTCATGTATCTTTTCTTTTGGAAACATAAAAGCCTTTGCTACTTAACAAAAAGTAGTTTACCTTGTCGCTCATAAGATATATGACTGGTACTAAATGCGAATGATTCATGTTCTCTACTTCTCTCGTGGCTTAAATTTTGCTTTATAGCATTAGCGGTCTAGTTGGTAATTTATGTCAATGGTCAAGTTCATGTGGAAGCTATATTGACATGCTTCCCATCGTTTCATCCCATATTACTGCCGAGTTTTTGGTAGAAAAGTGAGGTCATTCAATTTTTGTACTGTACCGGCGTTTTGCTCACTAAGATCGCCTTCAAACACGTGACCTACACGTCGTTGTGCGCCATCTTGCGGGAGGACGTCGATAACCTCAAAAAGTCGGAGAATACTTTGCAGAATAAGCATAAGACTTTTGTTGAGCTTAGCTGCAAGTACTTTATTGCGCTATGATCGGGTTCAATTCGTTGTATTTGTTGCCGCAGTTGTTTAGGTTTATGAGGATTGAAAGGCCGACTTTTTTCACGGAAATATAAGGGCTTTGATCATTGACATAACTGTCTAGACCGCCATGTCAATTCCCAGCTACCTGAAAATCTCGGTCAAATTGATCGTCTGAAACGCCTGAAAACTACCAAACTGTCTTCATGACATCTAGTCATGCATCTTTTCTTTTGGAAACATAAAAGCCTTTGCTATTTAACAAAAGTAGTTTACCTTGTCGCTCATAAGATATATGACTGGTACTAAATGCGAATGATTCATGTTCTCTACTTTTCTCGTGGCTTAAATTTTGCTTTATATCATTAGCGGTCTAGTTGGTAATTTATGTCAATGGTCAAGTTCATGTGGAAGCTATATTGACATGCTTCCCATCGTAATATGGGATATTACTACCAAATTCTTGGTAGAAAAATGAGGTCCTTCAATTTTTGTACTGTACCGGCGTTTTGCTCACTAAGATCGCCTTCAAACACGTGACCTACACGTCGTTGTGCGCCATCTTGCGGGAGGACGTCGATAACCTCAAAAAGTCGGAGAATACTTCGCAGAATAGGCTTAATACTTTTGTTGAGCCTAGCTGCAAGTAGTTAATTGCGCTATGATCGGGTTCAATCCGTTTTATTTGTTGCCGCAGTTGTTTAGGTTTATGAGGATTGAAAGGCCGACTTTTTTCACTGAAATATAAGGGCTTTGATCACTGACATAACAAATGATATTTAGACCGCTGAATGGCATATCTTAGAAACTAAAAAATCTCATCCAACTTGCTCGCCTGAAAACGCTTCTCCTCAATGCACAAACTGTCGTTTGAATCATCAAGTCAGTTCTATTTTGTTTTGGAAACAAAAGAGTCTCGAATATTTACACTAACAAGATGTTGACGCCAAATTTGGCCTAAGTTTTTGCGGCTGGTTCGCAGGCGATGCTAGCGAAGCTCAGCAAAATATGGCCGTCCATCTATCTGTAAGTTGCTGAACCATCTAGGAATGGAGCAGGAGAATCACAAACTTTGATATTCTGACTTTAAATCAAAAGTATTTTAATCAGACCCTGATGCGACATTCCTTCTTGCATAAAAACGTCTAAAAGTAAACTTAGAATATATTCTGCATTACCGATCCCTACCCTTTGCTACTCAACAAAAAAAAATTCACCTTCTCGCTTATAGATACCGCCACCTAGTAAACAGAATTTCTAACTTCATTGCTCTCATGATGATGGTTCATCTTACTAGTGTAAATAATCGAGGGTAAGAGTCCTGAATCTCGTGAGTGGCAAAGCTTTTTTATGGCATTTAGCGGTCTAGATAGTAGTTTTATTTCAGTGGTTAGGTTCATGTGGAAGCTATATTGACATTCTCCACATTATTTTATCCAATGTTACTGCCGAATTTTTGGTAGATAAATGAGGTCATTCAATTTGTGCTGTGAAATGTCATAAAATCGAAAATTGTAGTTGCTACAATCATAAAATCGATGAGATTTTATATTGGTGATTTTTCTGCCAGTATATTTTATAATTTAATCGCATCTCTGACTCAGCACCAAATAGAAAAACTTTCCAGTGATTTTTAAACCTTTTTTAGAGTTCAGTAAGAAAGTGAACGACAAAAAAATATTTCTAGGATGATGCAAATTTCAATCAATATTTTCATTTGTATTATTATTTCGCTCTAAGTATTCTTCTGAAATTACTTCAGATATTGAGATACATATCACATTTGAGATACATCATAATTCGCACATTTTATATCATAAATTTCTAACTAAGAATTTGAAAGTGTTTCAGTACTATTAACTATACGCTTTCAAATACACTCGTGAATCAAGTAGTTCTCACTAAATTATATACAGTGTCATTCATAGAGTCGGCATCATATGGGAAAAACTTTTATCAATGACTTATTTTGAAATTCGATTTGGACGTCTAGTGTTGCTTCAAAAAAGATGAAAAATGACCTACTCAATCGGGGTCACGTGACTTTCGCTACATGTCAAAAGTGACATTTTTTCAAATTAATCGCTGAAAGTAGGCTTATTTTCGAATATCGAAAAGTTTACTTGAAAAAGTTGTTTCTATTTCAATTTTACACATGCTTCCCGAATTTGATTTTTCTATTGCAACTTTTAGATTTTGATTTTTTTTTTAATTTTTCGAAATTTCTGTAATATTTGAAGAATTGTTAATTCCACGAAACTACTTCATACCAGTAGCTTTTTCATGCTACTTACTTTCAATAATAAAAGTTTTTCCCATATGATGCCGACTTTATGAATGACACTGTATAGGGTGTCCCAAAAAGGTCTGTACAACATCTGAGCACATATTCCTGAGGTCAAAATATACCGATTTAAAGCAACTTACCTCAGTCCGAAATTGCTCCGTTTTCGAGATACAGGGTGGTGAAGAAGATAACAAATAAAAATCGACGAGTACCCTCAAAGAAAGTATCTTGAAAAATCCACGAAGATAACAGCAAACATTTTCTAATCAAAATAATTTAAATGCTGCATTAAACATTGAAAACAGAAATATCTCGAAATTGGTTTACTTTAGCGGATTTTCACAAGATTAACTTTTTTGCTAGAAAATGTTCCGAAACTTATCTCCTCAACGAAAAAAATTAGAAACTACACTGACAAAAGAGTTATGGCGATTCTAAACCATAAGGAGTGCATTGGTAAGCACCCTCTGATGGCCACAGTGAAAACATGTCCTAATTCAGGTCTCGCATACCAAAAAACCACCGGATACCAATTTTTGAGGAGAAAGATTTTCATAAATTCTGAAAAACTCGATTTATATTTTTCAAATTCACAATTCTGTATTTCGGAATCGGAACAATCACTACAATTCAGGACTGAGGTGAGTTGCTTCAAATCAGATTATTTTGACCTCAGGAATATGTTTTGAGATGTTGTGCAGATCTTTCAGGGACACCCTGTTTAATCTCATTATGATTGATATTATATAAAGACAGTCATTTTAAATAGAGCTTCAACTTATTTATCACATGGGGATATACTGAGCTAAATGAAGCTATGAAGTTAGTGGAATAATTTTAATATTTCAGTTACGAAAAAACAATCATTTTATAACTAATATTCTCGGGAAAAAGTGTTCTTGAGATATAATGATGAAACTTCAACGCTTAAAGTACTCAATGTAACTTCATTCAACAGCAACTTACGTTTATTTTATCAGCCTCCAACGAGTGGCATTGTTACCGTTAATACCTGAAAACAATATTAAAAATGATAAAAAAACACGTTGACTCTTGTTTCACTGTAAACATCCTTAACTCAACTAGGAAAAAGCCAAATACTCAAAGTGGAATGCAATGGTCACAAAGAGAGAGAAACTCAAAGTCATTGCCACGATAGTTTATAAAATCAACGAGAATGATAACGAGAGAAAAACAACTACTTTCCTGACTATATGCCACGCAAAACATTGGATTTCATCCACTCGAAATCTATGAATAATTCGTATAGACGAATAAAATCGCAAGCTCGAAACCGGTCTGCAGGCCATTGTAATGTAGTAATACCAGTAGCTTCTAAGAAATTTCGGACTATTGCTGCAGTGTGTGGTCGGGCATTATCGTGCATCAATATAAAATTATTGCCCACTAACTCTGCATAAGGTAAGACATACTGCTCTACAATGTCAATGTGGACCCCGCACTAAACTATAGTGAAAATGGCTCTCGATGAAAAATCGCTGAAATTTTGGTATGTTGCAGACTTCGATATACTGAACAGATATTTCAAATAAATTAACCTCAAAAAATGGACAGTTTTTCCGATATTGACCTCCAAATGTCATTTTTCCAAGAAAGAAAAAGTATCTGAAAATGGTTGAATTTTTGGCATGTTGTAGATACGAACAAACTAATGAAAAAATCCAATTGACCTAACCTCCAAAAATTGATAGTTCTCTCGATATTGACCTCCGAATGTAATTTTTTCAAGAAAAAATCTCTGAAAATGGCTGAATTTCTGGTATGTTGTGAATAGGAATGAACTGATGAAAAAATCCAATTGACCTAACCTCAAAAAATTGACAGTTTTACTGCTACTGACCCCTAAAACAACAACTGTATGAAAGTTGACCTTCAGAATGTTATTCTGTACAATTTCAAGGTCAGGAGAGTCAGGAAAAAATAATGTTTCATCATCATCGACGTTTCGTCCTTCATCATGGGACATCCTCAGAAATCTATGAGTAAACCTACTAGAAATATGAGTCAATTAAATTATGTTGCAGCCTCGATTTTCAAACACATTCTCCTGAACATCCTCATATAGGTGAGTAGATTTTTGAAGTTTGTCAGGTTTTCATTTTATTTTGATAACTTTTTTCATGTTTTTTGTGTCTTTTTGCCCATCACACAATTATTTTAATGTTTCAATGTACCCATTCTGTTTGTAATAGAAGAGTCCTGAATTTTTGGTTTGTCGTAGATTGTTGTTGAATATAATAATTATATTGATGATTGCAGGGATGCAATAATGAAAAATTGTATATTGTTGCTGTCGTTGACTTCTGGATTACTGTCAATTTTTTGAGGTTAGGTCAATTGAATTGTTTCATCAGTTCATTCCTATCTACAACATACCAGAAATTCCGCCATTTTCAGAGATTTTTTCTTGAAAAAATTACATTCGGAGGTCAATATCGAGAGAACTGTCAATTTTTGGAGGTTAGGTCAATTGGATTTTTTCATCAGTTTATTCGTATCTACAACATGCCAAAAATTCAAGCATTTTCAGATACTTTTTCTTTCTCGAAAAAATGACATTTGGAGGTCAATATCGGGAAAACTGTCCATTTTTTGAGGTTAGTTTAATGGAATATCTGTTCAGTATATCGAAGTCTGCAACATACCAAAATTTCAGCGATTTTCATCGAGAGCCATTTTCACTATAGTTTAGTGCGGGGTCCTTTGGGCATTCATCGACTGCCTCACCGGAAAAACATGAAAGGGTGTCTTTCCATTCATTGAAATCCCTCCCCACACCATAACGGACCCACCATTAAAACTTTCGCATTCTGTTATTAAATTTTGATTGAACCGTTCACCAGTTCTTTTCCACACTCTTTTTCTTCCATCCACCATGTTGAGGCAAAACTTTGACTCATCCGTAAACAAGACATTCGACCATTCAGGAATATTCCACTGTTCATAATCTTCAACAAAATTTCTTCTAGCAGCACGATGTTCGGGCAATAATTTGGATCTTTTGCAGGTCTCCTAGCTTTTAAATTAACCTCTTTTAGACGTCTACATACCGTCTGCTTACTTACCCTAACATCACGAATTTGGCGAAGATCTTGCAGAACATTTACCGCAGTATTTGATCGATTCCGTAAAATCCGCAATCTCAAGAAGCGATCATCTCTTGGAGAAGTTTTTCGGGGGCGACCAGAACCGACCCTCCGAGCGGTCCTTCCTGTTTGTTCGTACTTGCGGATTGCTCTACGAGCAGTTGCTTCATGAACTCCCACTGCACGAGCGGTGTAACGTTTACTACGCCCATAGTTTACTAACGCAACATTTTATGTAATTTTAGTCAATAAAACAAGACACTTAATTAATGACACAACGACAAATGGTCAAGTATGGAGGCATACAACAAATTAGTTGCTATGGCACCGGCATTTGTTTTTTTAAAGACAATGTGATCCTACCAGAGTACAACCCAATCAATTTTGAGTACTCTGATCCTTCAATAAATTTAATTTGTGGGATAAGCGTAAGGTATCAGCAAAACAGCTGTAATTCGGAAAATTTTAGAGATGTTTTCCTCTCGTTATCTACCATTTTCGTTCATTTTATGAACTATTGTGGTAATGACTTTGAGTTCCTCTCTCTTTGTGATCCTTAACTCACTTTTCTGGAGTTGTTGAAAGAAGACGAACAACCCTTTTGTTTGACGATGTATGGAACGAAAATGTCGATCAAGTAACCCCTAGTCTTTGATTCAAGAAGCAATCTATCTTCGCCAATATCCAGAGTGAGTTCTTTGGAAGATAACTGAAAAAAAAATACAGCAATGTTTCTTCTGTGAAGGTAAGTCAAATTTTATAATAATGAATCAATGTTTAGGATCAGAGCTTACTAGAGTTTCTAAATGTACTTGACACTGCTGTTTTGACGTTTTTTGTATATTAGGACACTATGACAAGCACTGACAATCAGACATAACCACAAATAAATTGATGGAAAAAGCGGGAACTGACTGGACACGGACGTGCATGACATAAATTTTTAAAGGTTTGACAAATTGAGAGAATTAGGAGAAAGATGCAAGTTTGTGCAGTTTCCAACTGTGAGAACACGGGAAATCAATTCAATCAATTCGAATTTCCATCGGATAAGGTCACTACACTGTTTTACCACTAATCAAACCGATTTTTTAACGCCTTGACACGTGTTTCGCTAACTATGTTAGCATCTTCAGGAGAAGATTAAAACTCCGATATATCGGATAAGGTAGGTAATTCTTCTAAAATGGAAACAGAATATGATGCAGCCGATACGGAGTATAGGTTCAGGCCACAAAATTTGCGATGTATTCAAATTTCTCGGTAGGATATAGACCATTTTCCAACGCATTTTTATCAGTTTCACTTCAGAACGGAAGATTTGATGTTGAAGAATAGTATCGTATTGAGAGAAAGAGCCGAACCCACAATTTATAAACTGAGGCGAGTATCGAAAAGAACCTTATTCCAATTTAGAACCAACAAGAAAAGAAAAACTTGCAAATAATGAAATTCATTCAGAACATATTTTGAAAGAAAAAAACTTGAGAATCGAATTTTTAGAGCAGGAATATTCACAAATCCAAGGTTCACGAGTAGAAGAGAGTGAGGAATTCAGGAAACAAATGAAAGAAAAAAATAGAGAGTTGAAAAATAAGTTAAGGCAGAAAGATTTAGTTGCAATAGTCAGAGTTAGCAAAATTCAGAACTATTGCCTAAAAATTATTTCAGATTTGAAACAAAGGCAACATTGAAGAAGCAAATATCCAAGCAATTTTGAGCAAAATTCATAGTTTAGATGAACAATACTATTACATTTGTTCATTTATTAATTACTCATTACCTAACCCTCTTGTACAAGTGAAATTGTTCCATACGAAATGAAACTATGTTTCATTGGTTGAAATTTATCAGTTTTTACCCCATTATTCTGAACTTTTGTGATAAAAAAATATTCAACTGAACGTATATATATAAACCTTCATATAAGAGACCTATTTCATAGGAATAGTATATGTATTTCGTTAATATAAACTACTCAACACTAATTTCGTCGCACACCAAAATGTCGCCCCTGTTATAATGTGAATAACTTTTTTCAGTTTAGAACAATTTGAATTTGGTTCACACTGTTCGATAACCCAGTCCTTCAGCTATAATCTCGTACTTCATTGGGGTATTCACATAAAATCTCTACATGGTGTTTTCCGACACGTTGGTTACGGCGGGCCATGCATTACAGAGGAGAAATGATCTAATGTTTTTGCAAGAACATGTTTCAATTGTGTTTTCTCACGCACAATTCTTGACTACTGAGAGCGAGGAAAATATGGACGCATCCAGAATGAATTGTTTTTCCGAGAACAAGTTGATTTTCATTCAATTCTCCTCCCAACCGAGATTCGAAGGGCGTTCCAGATTTGGGTCACTTTCAAGAAAACTCTAGATCTTTGATAGCCATCTTGAGTCAATTCTGATATTCAGATCTCTTCATCCGAAGTTTTATCTTCAAAATGAGCCTAAGATTTCCAAAATCGGTTGACGTGGAAAAAAGTTATGGCTGCAAAACCAAAAAGTTGATTTTTTGAGATCACTCTGGAAATAAGAGAGATAGGAAGTTGATTCGCGAAATATCTCGAGGTAATGAGATCATCTTCATGCCTCTGTTGTCGAAGTTGAGAAAAAAATTTTTTTCACCATTTGAAAGCCTTGAATATTTCGAAATTTTGCACAGTGTCGGAAAACACCATGTAGAGATTTTATGTGAATACCCTAATGTTTCAATGAAGTACGAGATTATATCTGAAGGACTGGGCTATCGAACAGTGTGAACCAAGTTCAAATTGTTCTAAACTGAAAAAAGTTATTCACATTATAACAGGGGCGACATTTTGGTGTGCGACGAAATTAGTGTTGAGTAGTTTATATAAACCTACATATAAGAGACCTATTTCATAGAAATAGTATATGTATTTCGTTGCTATATATGTACACACCAACTTGATATCGACCTCCATTGAGGTCCTTCAGCCTTACCATTCAATATTTCGAGAAGAAATAATTTTCTTATCAATTATCGTACCCTTTTATCCACTCAAGGAGACGCTATGCACTCTCATACAAAAATCAAAGACAGAGAAAGATATATGGATGTACCACCATGCGAGGATCCTTTATCTAAGCGAAAAACATATTCTTGTCCTTGTCCGGCAAAACATATGATTTGCTTCAAAATCGTTTGTGGTTATGTTTCATTGTCACTGCTTGTCAAAACAGCAGTGTCAAGTACATTTTAGGAACTCTAGAGCTTACCACATCAGGTAATCTGAACTCTCCATACAAACAATTCTGGCCACTTTTTTTGTACAGGCGATATTCTGGCTCCCTTGGTTCATTTTCAGTGCTGGAAATTGTTTCAATCACAACTTTTTTATTCTCTGTGCCTTCGATCTCGCCAATCAGAGATGGCTGTCTATTCTCGGCCATCTTTTTACTGATTTCCCTCTGTTGAATTCTAAAATGACACCAAATTAAAGTAGAGTACCTTCATATTTCCTGCGAGTTCTTAAGTCGATTATCATACAGGGTGATTCATCAAGTATGGGCTATCTCTGAACTACAGATATTAAACACCAAAATATGAGAATTTGTTTGAAGGACCATGCACACATTATATGGAAAAATGTCTTTCGGTGAAAATGGTTGGATTTTTGATATGTCGTAGCTGTAGTCATTCTAAGTAGAAGACTCCATTGGCCCAGATTCGGCGCTAGAGGGTGAAACATCATGAATTTTGTGTATTTTTGAGTACGAAGCTTAATGAAGAATATGAAAATCTCGTGATAGGCATTCACCCTACCAAAATTCATTGAAGATAGGTTTGTTTCAAGGTTACAGAAAGATTGTAGTAGCCTTTTTACAGGGTGGTCAACAATAAACTGATTTTCAGAAAATCCGAATGCCATCGCCTATATGAGAAAACTGATTTATTGACTTCATCAATGGCGATCGATCAGAATAAACGTTGATCGAAGGAAAGACAATGATAATCATTGATACAGAGTGATCTGAATAACAGAAGTTGCCAATATATTCATTCAGATGATTTAATCATGGCATAGTCCTGAATAATGTCTTCTGATGCCATTGTCTGAATTCTTTCCGACGAAATACAATGAGAAGTTTTACGAACATTCCTCATTACTCTATGTTCACTTTGCTGTTATGGCCATATGCAAAAAATACAAGGGTTCTTCTTCACTAAGGAAAGATCCATCTTACATGAAAACAACTTCGTGACATTTTTGTTATTAGGTGTATGTGTAAGTGTGAATTATACAGGGTGGGTCACGGTAGATGGCACCTTAAACGTTTACGGAGAACGGGACATAAATTCATTTCATCAGTTATTGAAGAATTGAAAGATTAGGTAAAATTGCACTTATCAATATCATGTGATGGTTTTTTTGTTTTCAAAAATTTGATTGGTAAATATGTATTTTTGCCTGAAAAACAGGAATTTGATAATGTAAATGTGAACAAACCATTATTCATCTACCTAGCCAAAATATTGAAGATCATTCTGAAAATTTGGTTACTCAAGTAATTGCTCTTGATCTATCGATCTAAAATATTTTCAGCTCTGCGGCGTTGCCGCTTCTATCGAAAAGTAGCAACAACTTTGTTATTTTGAGTGGAACACCCTGTATTTTATCGCATTTTCAGATTCTCTCTGAAGAGCTGATTTCATCGATGTATCACACTTGGGGTCTAGCGGAAATGATTACAGAGATATAGGGTGTGAAAAATCGACATTTTTCAACTTTAGGAATTTTTTTTGTCGAAACTATTCATTATTGGTCAAAACGGCTTACATGTCCCTATCTCAACTTTTGATTAACTATCTACTGATATTTAATTGGGACATATACCGGGTGATCAAGAATCTGAATTCTGCACCCACCCTGTATTTGTTTCAATTAAATGTCAGTAGATAGTTGATCAAAAGTTGGGATAGGAACATGTGAGCCGTTTTGACCAATAATGAATAGTTTCGACAAAAAAAATTCCTAAAGTTGAAAAATGTCGATTTTTCACACCCTATATCTCTGTAATCATTTCCGCTAGACCCCAAGTGTGATACATCGATGAAATCAGCTCTTCAGAGAGAATCTGAAAATGCGATAAAATACAGGGTGTTCCATTTAAAATAACAAAGTTGTTGCTACTTTTCGATAGAAGCGGCAACGCCGCAGAGCTGAAAATATTTTAGATCGATAGATCAAGAGCAATTACTTGAGTAACCAAATTTTCAGAATGATCTTATGTCCCGTTCTCCGTAAACGTCTCAGGTGCCATCGACCGTGACCCACCCTGTATATTATTATCAATCATCATCACATGTATTGTAATAACTGTTTTATCAAACCATATTGTAGTTGTATATAAGAAGAAGGATGTATCACAAGATACATGATATGAAAAATATGTTTCTTATCATGGGACAATCATCGAATTGAACGTCACGAATTATACAGGGTGATCCACGGTGGATGGCCTATTAGATCTGGAGAACGAAAAGACAACACATTCTGAAAATTGAGATGCTTTGATAATTGAACATTCTCTATCCGTCTAAAATATATTCATCGATACAGTGTTGCCACTTCTATCAGAAACAACTAGCAACTTTGTTATTTCAAATGGAACACCCTGTATTTTTTTTCGTGCTCATAAAGGATGAATAAAATTATCATTATATTATAATCAAGGGTGTTACCTATGTGTCTGTAGTGTTCCGAAGGCTTTTCTATTTTTCAATACGGTCTTCTCGTCCTCGCAAACGATACCATACTTGTCTTCGATACCCTGGAAGACGATAGCGAAAAAGAAGCTTTTGAATTCGTCGTGGTGTTCGATTTTTTGAAAAAATCCGGGTGTATGGCGATGTCGCACGTTTTGGAATCCTGTCCCTTCTTATCTGGTTCGGTTCTGATTTCCCCTATGCTCATAGGGACCCTATAGTCCCCCGGATCCTCAGAGTTCAGGCAGTCTCTCAGTTGCTGAGTGGAAATGTCTTTGGGTGGGGGTATAGCATCGGTTTGGCATACATTCACGAAAACTTTGCAACCGGTGGATGCTTCTTTGGTTTTGACGCAAAATCCTGGCAAACAATCGGAATCGTTTGAAGATTTTGTTTTTTTTTTAGGATTATTTGATTTTATTAGGGGTCATTTTTTTCAGGATCAAGCAATGAAGAAACACGTTATGCTATACACTGTGTCCATAAAGTCACCCCCCCCCCCTGGTTAACTATTGAACGGATGGGATTTTTTTTTTCAATTTTTTTTTGCTACAATGGTAGTTTCAGTGCTATATATTGTTCCAAAAAAAAAATATGTATCCTCCAAAATGGCGCCTGGGCTCCATTTTGGAAGATTTTTTTAAATGGAGTGGGGGGTTGAAAGATACCTCGATTGAAAGGTCTTTCGATTCTCTATACAACCTCAGAATCTCAGACAAAAATATTCATCCAAAACAAAATGGCGGATGATAACGTTTGAAATCTCACACCAGAATTCTTTCCACTGGATATGGCTATAAGTGCTCGCATGTGATCTTCAAATCTTTATTGGCGTATAGAAGAGTTCTCTATCTATGAAGATATCAATAGAAAGCCATTTTGAAGAGAATAACATGGTAGTATCGTGGAATAAACATTGTTCTTTATTTTGAATAAATATTTCTAAAATTTTGCAGAATTTGGAAAGACAATCGAGCAAAGGTATAATTGACTACCATGTTATTCTCCTTCATATAAAGATGTGCATATTATGTAATATCATTCTGAATATTCAACAGTTTCAATTAGAAAAATCAACAAATCAAGATATCCTAACCCCCAATGTCATCCTATAAAAGACCATTTAATCTCTCTCTGATAAGAAAATTCAGATAGCATTAATGTAAACATAACTCATAGTAAAAAGCATACCAAGAACACAAATGCATTAATTCAATTTGAATGTGCACATAACTGAATATAGTCCAGTACGTGAGGATTTTTTGAATGCAAAAAGTGGGGTAGTAGCGATTCTTTAGTATGTTATGGGGTTCGGTCGGGGCCCTTTATAAAAACTCCCCAAGTTATCAACCTCGAGGCAAGCAAACGCAAAATAAAAATTGGAGTATTTTTAGAGTTTGGATTAGATATGTCGATGATATCTTTGCTATTTTTGATACTAAAACCACAGATATAAATATATAGAAAATAGCGCAAACAACTTAGGATTTGACTTTTTTTTATGCAAGATTTTGTTTTCGAATCCTCATCGTGTGTGTTCAATAGATGTAATTCAATATTCGTCGTGGCATATAGCCGGGAAAGTAGTTGTTTTCTGTTGAATAAACCGAGAAAGAATTGATATTTTAATCACATGGAGAATGCGAATTCTCAACGTATTTCTTTATATACAGGGTGTCCGCTAGAAGGAGGTCAATCTATCAACCATATATTCCTTGAACAAGAACAATATTAGTTTCTAAATACCATTTTTCATTTTAGCCCTTCATATTCGATATACAGAGTGTCAAAGTTGGAAATCAAAAACTGTGTTTTAATTACTCGCGTATTTAATAAGATATTAATCTCAAAATTGGTACATTTCTTCAGCACAAAGAGTTACATCGTGTGAGGAAAATAAAACAGAAAATAACTGTCAAATATTCAAAATACTGGGGGTCGAGTACATAACTCCATATTTTTTTTGTACGTATGCTAATGACTTCCTATCTATCTTTCTTCAAGTGTTCAATCATTTGTACGAGAAAAAAAGTTATTAGTAACTAAGTCATAGTGAGCTATGACCTACATTTGAAAAACTTAAGTTGGTGCTGATATCTCAAATTCTAGAAGAGTTGGTATAAAGGACCCTGCACTAAACTATAGGGAAAATGGCTCTCGATGAAAATCGCTGAATTTTTGGTATGTTGCAGACTTTGATATACTGAACAGATATTCCATTGAACTAACCTCAAAAAATGGACAGTTTTTCTGATATTGACCTCCAAATGTCATTTTTTCGAGAAAAAAAAGTATCTGAAAATGGTTGAATTTTTGGCATGTTGTAGATAGGAATGAACTGATGAAAAAATCTAATTGACAAACCTCAAAAAATTGACAGTTTCCTCAATATTGACCTCCAAATGTAATTTTTTCAAGAAAAAAAAATCTCTGAAAATGGCTGAATTTCTAGTATGTTGTAGATCGGAATTAACTGATGGAAAAATTCAATTGACCTAACCTCGAAAAAAAATCCTTAAAAATCTATGAGTCAACCTACTAGAAAAATGAGTCGGTTCAACTATGTTGCAGTTTCTATTTTCTAACATATTTACCTGAACATCCTCATATAGGTGAGTAGATGGGCCTGTTTCAGGAAAATATTTCATTTTCATTCATCATTTTGAAGAACTAACCCAAACTTGATGTTCACTTGTTCACTTGTCAATTGTGAATAATTATTGAAATTCACGATATTTTATCTCATGAAAATCGCGGGACAACGCGTGTACATATTGTAAATAACTATTGGAATTCACGATATTTCATTACATGAAAATTGCGAAACAACGCGTGACGTCATATACCGGGATCAATCCATTGCAAATATTTTATTTTATTCGATAATTTTGAAGAGCTAACCCAAAGTTGTTCACTGTCGCAAACCTTTTTCTGTTCAGATCTCTGTACATATTGTAAATAATTATTGAAATTCACGATATTTCATAACATGAAAATCGAGGGAGAACGCGTGATGACGTTCTATACCGCGACCAATCCATTGCAATTATACTATACGATACGATTTATGTATTGTGTATACTTCAGTACACAACACTCCACTCCGACTATGGAAATAAATCCTCAATTCTATGAAGAATTTGGAAATATTCCCATTGGTTGTTGAGCAATAAAAATCTAAAAGTGTTTATCGGTATCGGTATGTCAATGTCACGTCATCTGCGGCAAAAGTGTTGCTGAGAGGTGATTATTCTGATTATTCAAAAAAATATATTTGGTATTATTGTAACTAATGAATGAGTGTATCGACTTCTTTTATAATAGATGGAATGATCGAAATAAAATAGATATATGGCATAAATTCGACTAGTGTTCGACCTTCAACCCCATTGACTCCGGAAAGACTACCTATACTAAAGGGTGGGCCATCTATTGGTCCGATTTTGAGTAGATCATTAAATAAACAAAAGCTGATTTTTTTGCAACGAATTTCGCTTTATTTGCTACAGTGTTTCTTCCGATTAATTATGATTTCAACAAGATGGCGCAACTTGTCATACCGACGCGCGTAGCATCAACCTTCGGCGCACAAGATTCAACAACCGTGTGATTAGCCGTTTCGGCGATGTCCACTGGCCTGCTCGCAGCTGCGATTTGACGCCGCTGGACTTTTTTCTGTGGGGTACATTGAAGAGTAAAGTTCATGCCGACAATCCCCAAACAATTGATCACTTGAAAAAGAATATTCGTGCCGAAATTGCCCAAATTGACCAGGAAACAGTGAACAAAGTGCTTGAAAATTGGTGTTCCAGGATGGCCTACTGCCGAGCCAGCCGTGGCCAACATTTCAATGAAATCATTTTCCATACTTAATCGGAAGAAACACTGTAGCAAATAAAGCGGAATTCGTTGCAAAAAAATCAGCTTTTGTTTATTTAATGATCTACTCAAAATCGGACCAATAGATGGCCCACCCTTTATAACCATCTTTTGAATAATATATATTTCATTACATCCTCTCTTCGGCGTTCTTCACCTGTGGGTGTATTATATGAAGAAGATTTGTTTTTAGAAGAATGAAATGCCAAATAGGTACCAATTCGAAAACAGCAACCTTGTCTATTGATTTTTGTTCCATTCATCTTATTTTCCATACGTACATTTGGAGGTCAATATCGAAAAAATTTCAATTTTTTGAAGTTAGGTCAATTGCATTTTTCCATCAGTTAATTCCGATCTACAACATACCAGAAATTCAGCCATTTTCAGAGATTTTTTTTTCTTGAAAAAATTACATTTGGAGGTCAATATTGAGGAAACTGTCAATTTTTTGAGGTTTGTCGATTAGATTTTTTCATCAGTTCATTCCTATCTACAACACGTCAAAAATTCAACCATTTTCAGATACTTTTTTTTCTCGAAAAAATGACATTTGGAAGGTCTATATCGGATAAACTGTCTATTTTTGAGGTTCGTTCAATGAAATATCTGTTCAGTATATCAAAATCTGCAACATACCAAAAATTCAGCGATTTTCATCGAGAGCCATTTTCCCTATAGTTTAGTGCGGGGTCCTTTCATATTTTTTGCGAAATCACTTTGAAAAACTGCCATGAGAATGTGAAATTCCTATTTGAATATTTTCATAAATAAAGAAGTTACGGAGGAGACATGAAAATGATCAAAATCTGTTTTTTGCGTATAAAACAAAAACGAATAAATTTTATCGAAATATTTTTTCACATTATAGTTGGCCTTGACAATATCCACATTTGGTGTCATTTAACCGACCTCGTATCTCTCACCATTAAAAAGATACCCATGGTGAGCATGGTAAGTGGGACACACTCTATTATAATGTAATATTTTCTCAATATTGATTCGTCCTTTTTCCTGTCACAGAAAAAAATAGGGTATTATACACGCGGGAAAAATATTAGATTTTAGCTCACACAACCTGGAGCTAACATCTACTACTTTTTTCCCTCGTATAATAAATAACTATCATCGAACTTCCTCTTTCCTTGAACTGTTCGTTCTAGGAATATCTAGTAAGAAAAGCGTTTTTCAATCTCGAGGACGTCATTTTAGATGAGGCTAAGATAACGATCTTTGTTGCTTGCTCATTTCAATGTCTCGTTATTTACACAAAATCTTGTATTTTATACAATGAATCAATCTGTTTCTTGCATAAAGTGTGTCCAAGTCCAAGATACGATGAGATATCTTGTAGAACAAATACATAAGAAACATATAAAAGATGGCGTAATATCCGTTCGATATTATTTGCTCAGTTTTGCAAGTCATCCGCACTTGTTTTCAACCAGGGTCGGACTAAGCAAGATCACTTGAGAACAGAATAATGGTGATTTCAGTAATCAATAAAATTTTGACACTTGCCATAACTTCCTTATCATTTCATGGTCAGTTTTTCTCAAGTAGTAAAATAAGGGAATAGCAAATTCAATATTCGGACGGAATTTTCAGAATTTTGTTCTGATATGTTATTTCTGAAAAGATTTATAAGATAGGTAAAATATCGCAGGATGAAATGAGTGATTTGAAACACCCTGTATATCCATGGGCATCCGCAGAATTTCATTCTCAAGGGAGGGTGACGGAATCAACAAAAAAAGCGCCGTAGAGGTGAACTCATCTCGAAACTTATTGTTTTTCGTTCAAGGTCAAGTTATTCCATGTTATAGAAATAATGAGTACTTATACAGGTGTTTCTAAAAGATCTTCACAATAATCTAGCTACCACATGAACGTCAGACCAAAACAATGTGTTCTAAGCAAACTCACTTCAGTATCATTTATGCTTGATAACTTTGAAACAGGTCATCATTGAACCTGCTTTTTTTCAGAAACATCTAAAACTTCTACGTCAATGGAAAGAAACGGGCTTATTTCAATAACACTCTATAAGTTGTGAATGTAGGAAGTGTAGAATTTTCAGGGGGGCCATGCCCCCCTTGGTCTTTCTCTGTGGGGGGCCCATGTACTTATATATATATATATATCTCATCTGCGCCATCTTTAATTGATATGTAGTAATTCGATAGCTTCAAATGGTAGAGATTACAAATCATTCGAGATTGCAGTCCCACAAACTATATTTTATAATAATACACATGCGTGTGCAAATGCGAGTATATACAGAGTGGGCCAGCCAAAACGAAAACAGACTGACTAACTTTCAAAATGAAGTTTTTCCATTATTTATTCCTTTTCAAGGCGTGTGTTTTTCTAATAAGGTAGTTCTCGTCATTTTATGAACTTTTAGCCACCTCTGTTTATAATCAACCCAAATTCAGTGTTCTAAGGCGACATTTGTAGAATCAGCACTCGATTCTTGTAGATATTTATCAATAACGACTTTAGAATTGAAAAGAAGTGATTTGATATAGTGACAATAGATCCATATTTCATTTTCACAGAACTATAATGATTGAAATATCTTGCATAAAAAAATGCAATATTCCCCTTGGTATTTATAGTTACGTATGTATCAAGAGTGTAAAGTAGGTTTTTATGGACCGCAGCGAGTATTAAGTAAGAACATGCCGAGATCCATAAAAGCATAGATTGAATGATAAAAGCAAGTTCCGAAATATAGTACAATTTTTTCTGTGACGGGAAAAAAGTTTGGCATTTCATCTCTGTTGGCAGGTTATAAAATGCCACTTTTCATAAATTACTTTTTTCCCGGATATATATCATATATATACACTGTTGATGGCTTTTGTTGTGCTATAGTTCCGAAAAATGAGTCAATAGTACCGTCTCCGAGAAAGAAAGTCCTTTTATCTTCCATTCGACTTCGCCGTTACGTATATTACTATAAACAACCACTAAATTCGCAATTTTTTGAAATCAAATCACAGAATTAGACTGACAGAAGTGACATCAGATATTTGATTACTTCAAAAGAATGATAAAGATGCCTACAACGCAGGTGTCCCTACTGTTAAAAACTCGAAATTTCACGTCGATAATTTTCAGATTTCAAAATAATGTAATATCGTCTCAATATTGATTCGTCCTTTCTTCTGTCACAGAAAAAAATAGTGTATTATACACGGGAAAAATATTAGATTTTAGCTCACACAACCTGGAGCTAACATCTACTTTTTTTCCCCTTGTATAATAAATAACTATTTTTGAACGGGTCAACTGAAGAAATCGAAACTTGGGGTGATGAAATTGGTGCATGAATACTATATTTTGGAGTAGAATTGACAGATGAAAAATTCAAGATGGCGGCTAGGCGCCATCTGGGATAAAAAAATTGAATGGAAAGGGGGGTATAGCTACTCATACCTTTCTTAAGACTTCGTTAGCAATAACGCATCTGTATCGCATCCCTATAGCTGGAAGTTTTTGATCATATTGTGGTAATTCCACTGAAGCGAAAATGACAGTAACGCTGTGTCTGTCATTTCGACAATAACAAACTCATTTGAAGTTTGATTGACAACAATAATCGTTTTTTTCATCAGATTAATCCGAATCTGTAGGGGGATTTTTATAATAATCAATTTTTATTTTTGAATATTGAATTTGATGGATGATTCTGAACATACATACTTAATACTACAACAAACAGACTAAAACTCTCATATTCCATCACCTACCACTTATATTTTGCCATATTATCATATCTTTGTTTTTCCCGCACTAGTGTGGGAAAAATTTTCCCGTACTGTTGCGGGAAAATGACACTCCCCAAACTAAATTGCGTGCGTTTATAGAGTGAATCACGCACGCTTGTAGAAAAATGTACATTCGTCACTGAAACAAATATTCTGGAGATAGGAAGGATGCCTTGCAATGGTTTCCGTCATAATTTCGCAGAATTCTATTCTTCGATCAGGGTCATCTTCAGTTAACTGGTGTACCATTTCTCAACATAATTGAACAATCAATTCGAGAAATTGGGAATAATCGAAATTTCATCAATGGCGTAGAAAATATGGGAGGAAAAGTTATCACAACCCTCTGTAGCGCACCTCTGGATAAAATTCTCGGAATGTCTCTCTGGTCAAAAATCTAACCATTGAAAGATGAAACCATATACCGAATTCGAATGCATTATTTTCTTTTTCTTTTTTTTCGAGATATTGCCAAAAAACTATTTCAATTTCTAAACTTCAACGCTCTGTATCTCGAGAACTGAACACTTGGAGAACGTATATGTCCCTATCTCAGTGATTATGAAATCACGAGAGCTATCACCTGTCAAGCGTTGTCTGTCGAATTTCGCAACACCCTGTATATATGATTTTATCCACAAATGCATACAGTGTGTCCCACTTACCATGCTCACCATGGGTATCTTTTCAACGGTGAGAGATACGAGGTCGGTTAAAGGACACCAAATGTGGAGTTTGTCAAGGCCAACTATAATGTGAAAAAATATTTTCATAAAATTTATTCGTTTTTGTTTTATACGCAAAAAAACAGATTTTGATCATTTTCATGTCTCCTCCGTAACTTCTTTATTTATGAAAATATTCAAATAGGAATTTCACATTCTCATGGCAGTTTTTCAAAGTGATTTCGAAAAAAATATGAAATTTATTCCAACTCTTCTAGAATTTGAGATATCAGCACCAACTTTAGTTTTTCAAAAGTAGGTCATAGCTCACTATGACTTAGTTACAAATATCTTTTTCTTCTCTTACAGATGATATGTCGCAGTAATAGTTTTGTGTTGATAACAACGGAGTTATCGTCATTTATACAAAAACAAAAAATCATTCGGAAGCCGCCATCTTGAATTTATGAATTTTAACAAAAAAATCATGATCTCCGGCCCTAAAAACCCCCACTTACCAATTTCGAATGGAATCGGACCAAATCTTGTCCGCCATCTTGGAGCAGCCATTTTTTTTTAATTGATGGCGGAAAAGATTTGGTCTGATTCCATTCAAAATTGGTGAGTGGGGGTTTTTGAGGTCGGAGATCATGATTTTTTTGTTAAAATTCATAAATTCAAGATGGCGGCTTCCGAATGATTTTTTGTTTTTGTATAAATGACGATAACTCCGTTGTTATCAACACAAAACTATTACTGCGACATATCATCTGTGAGAGAGAAAAGTCATAGTGAACTATGACCTACATTTGAAAAACTAAAGTTGGTGCTGAAACCACAAATTCTAGAAGAGTTGGTATGAATTTCATATTTTTTTAGAAATCACTTTGAAAAACTGCCATGAGAATGTGAAATTCTTATTTGAATATTTTCATAAATAAAGAAGTTACGGAGGAAACATGAAAATGATCAAAATCTGTTTTTTGCGTATAAAACAAGAACGAATAGATTTTTTCAAAATATTTTTTCACATTATAGTTGGCCTTGACAAACTCCACATTTGGTGTCATTTAACCGACCTCGTATCTCTCACCGTTAAAAAGATACCCATGGTGAGCATGGTAAGTGGGACACACTGTATATGATTTTATCCACGAACGCATAATTATATTTGTCTCTAGTCTCGATCCAAATTCATGTGTTACATGATCTAAGGTTACAGACAGTGTGTTTGAATCTGAAGGAAATACAGTTTGACACTTCTGTCACATTGAATGTCTGTTTTTCGTTTTCGTTGGCCCACTCGGTATACATTGTTGCTATACAGACGGATTCTTTTCAAGCCTATCAGCAGAAGCCGGTGTTCATTTGAGTGCTATTACGAGTTTGGTAACGTTGTGCAATAGGATATTATTCGCTATCTGTTAGCGATTTGTTATGATAATCAGATTGTCGATTTGTTCAGGTCGTTTGGTGGGTGGCTGGTGAAGTGAAGACTGTTTTGTGTGTGTGTGGTTTCGAATAGAATCTCGTTTTTTTACCACAGAACTGGTTTTTACTGGTAAGGTTTAGTTTTAATGGTTGAAGAACTATGACAAAAACATGTCAATGAGAACTTATTGTTTCGATGTTTTCAATTTCCTGAACTTTAAATCGGCATTATTTCTAGCGTGCCAATTCCGAATCTGTAATATTTCTTCTCGATTTTTTTGTTATTTTCCATGTGTTTAATGAAGGAAAAGAATACGAACATTCTTTACCGGCATACCGGGTGGCTACGGAAGTATTGCCTACGGAATATCTCAGTTATTGTATGAAGTAGATTTGTGAAATTTGGAGCGTCGATATAATGACATAAGAGCTAGAATTTGAGCATATTGACATGTCGAAGTTAACTTCCGGTCAACTTTCTTATTTTAAATGGAAACCCTATTTTTTTTTTCTTTTCGCTTTATTCAGCATTCAATTCCCTTTCTAATGACATATCACAAGTTGGTATCTAACCAGAAACTAGATCAGAAAAAAATTATTATTGAAATTCACCGAGTAGGCCGTGGAAGCAAAATGAAAGCCAAAAAATGACTTTCTATTATATGATTAGAAAGGAATGGTTATGCTGAATAGTACAGGCAAGAAAAAGTTGTATGTTCCTATTTAAGTTATGGACCTACAGAGTATTGTTTTTTTCCCAATTTTTCCATTATTTTTTTGGCTGCTTTTTATAACGCCGACGAATGAAAATAAAATATCACAGTAGTAGCAATTGTTATCAAGTGACGTATGGTTTCCATAGCCAACTTTTCAATTTTTGGCTTTCATTTTGCTTCCACGGCCTACTCGGTGAATTTCAATAAAAAAAAATTCTGATCTAGTTTCTGGTTAGATACCAACTTGTGATATGTCATTAGAAAGGGAATTGAATGCTGAATAAAGCGAAAAGAAAAAAAAATAGGGTTTCTATTTAAAATAAGAAAGTTGATGTTACTTCCGGTCAGACCGGAAGTTAACTTCGACATGTCAATATGCTCAAATTCTAGCTCTTATGTCATTATATCGACGCTTCAAATTTCACGAAGCTACTTCATACAATAACTGAGATATTCCGTCGGCAATACTTCCGTAGCCACCCGGTATATAAACTTTTTTTGATTTCGAGTCTGTGACAATTTTCGCTCTATAAACTGGAAACTTCTCATACTGGGTGTAACAGCATGGTGGTACACCAAACCATTTTAATAAACTTCATTTGTTGATGAATCAATTTGACAGGATTAATTTTTTTTATCATTACACCTTTCGATAGGAGAATATGTACAGAGTGATTGTTTAATTGGCCCTACAGAAACGTTCAAAAGGAATAGAGTTATGTATTTTTTATGGTCATTCAGACTAGTACTAGAAAATACGGTAAGACTGCATTTATCATGCGATGTTTTTTTTTTCGAAAATGTTTTAAGGAACTTACGTATTTTTGTCTGAAAAACAGGAAATTGATAATGAAAATGTGAACAAACCATTATTTATCGAGATATTTCAAGAAAAAGTTCGAAATTTCGTCTTCTTTTTCCTTCAGCTACTTGCTATTTTCATTTTGTCATTGGACACTTTATATACCCATGATATACTTCAATGACACATTTTTATATATAAAATTCAACAGGAAATATAATTTTTATGGCCAGTTTTTCATATTTAGTGAACAAGCATACCAGATGACGGCCATTTAATCAATAGTCAATCCAAATACGATATGTCAAATGTCAACAGATTGATTTTGAATGACATTACACACGCCATTATTTTAAATATGATATTCTTCCTTCTTTTCACTTAATATGGATAAATCCACGGATAAATCGAAAGAAAATCATATTTTTCTACAAACGTCAAAAAATGACAAGGTTCGCGCATTGATAATAAACTGCGAAGTGACACTTTTTTTCAGTTCCCTACGTTATCATGATACCTTGCACATAACAATGCGCGAAGTAAAACAGTGCGCGAAGTACCTACTTCGCGCATTGTAATGTAAAATTAATGAGATATTTATATTTCAACTATATGGTCCTCAATCGAGCAAAAATCCATGGAATCATTTATTTCTGAATGTTCAACAATAACTTTGTTTTATCTCTTGAGCGCACGAAAGGAAAGTCGTATTATGTTCGTGGAACATCGTGCGTACCTAGGGAGGATAGGGGGAGGCCTTTAAAGCCAATTTGACACTATCTTTTATATCTAGCTAAGCATATTTTTACTTTAGAACTATATTTTTTGACGTTTATAGAAAAAATGTTGTTTGCAACTCGAGCGCGAAATACTTTGGTCATCTCGACTATTTTTTTAACTCGGCTACGCCTCGTTAAAAAAATCAGATCTCGATCACCAAAGTAGCATTTCGCGCTCTAGATACAAAAATAACTATTCTATTGACTCATAAAATGAAAAAAAAATGTGTCGTACATTGTTATATACAGGGTGTTTCATAATTGAATGCTGATGCTAAAAGGCGATGATCCTTGGATGATTTTAAAGAGAGGAGTTCATATCAACATATGTTCTGAACCTCTCAGTTTTTAAGCTACAGGGAGTTGAAATCAGAAGCATACAGCGTTTTTTTAAACAAAACATTCAATATCAGGTCTACGAGGACATCACTGGTAAAAGTAAAAGTTTGATTTTCGTCCCAAAACAAAATGTGTTTCCACTTACAGTGGGTGTCTACTGAATTACCAAAAACAATATCCAAGAACTGAAGGAACAAAATTCTTTGGGTTTTTATTTTTTTACGCGAAAACGGTACGTTGTATGAAAGTAAGTCTAGGAACCAAATTTGCTCCAAAATGAATAAGAATTGGAAATGCTGGAAATTGGTTCTCAGAAAAATCAGTGGCGTACTATTTTTCTTCAAAAATTGTCAGTTCAAACCCCGTACGGACGCCACTGGTGAGAATTTTCTTTCACGTAAAAAAATGCTCCTTAATTATGAAAAGGTGTATACAAAATATCATAACAATATCTAAGAGTGATAAAAAAATATGAAGAAACACTCATTTTTTCCTTGAAATTTCATCACCCTGTATCTCAATAACTAAGAGGTTTAGGATATATGTTGATATGAACTTTCCTCTTTGAAATCATCCAAGGATTATCGCCCTCAAGGATCAGCATTCAATTATGAAACACCCTGTATAAATTGTCCAAAGATGAAAAAAGAAGGACAAATTTGTATATTTATAATGAAATATCTCAATAAATGATGGTTTGTTTACATTTTCGTTATCAAATTCGTGTTTTTCAGACAAAAATACGTATGTACCAAAAAAAATTTTCAAAAAAGAACCTATCGCATGATAAATGCAGTTTTACCTTAAATTTTTTTGATTTCGAATCTGTGACAATTTCAGCTCTATAAACAGGATACCTCTCATACAGGGTGTAACAGCATCATGGTACACCAAACCATTTTGATAAACTTCATTTATTGTTAAACCATTTTGACAAAATATTTAATTTTTTTCGTCATTTCACTTTCGATAGGAGTATGTACAGAGTGATTGTTTACATTTTATTCAATAGCTGTCTGAGTTAATATTGGCCTTACAGAAGCGTTCAAATGGACAAAAGTGAAGTATATGTTTTATGACCATTCAGAATCTAGTACTAGAAAATACAAGAAAGCTCCGTAAACCCAAAAGTTTTACACGAACTAGTATTTTTTAAATGGTACACCCAGTATTTCATTTTTCTAAACGGTAGAGCCCTTTCTTCTGATTTCAAATATACAGGGTGAGTCAATTTTTTGTTCGGATTCCACTATAAACTGTATAGGTCCCGCTCTTCCTAACCCCGCACAAGTTTCGACTTCTGGGGAGTTGGTTCCCAACTTTGAAGTAGCGACATTTTTTCATAAAGAAAATTCTATGTGAACATATATGCGTAGGAGCTTCGTTTCCGATATACAGGGTTGAAAGTTTCAAGATTTTTTTCGTGTTTTTCCAATTCCCTCCTAGAATGTTCGAAATAATGAATTGAAATCTGGTACACCTATCACACTTTGGAAACGCAATATTTGGGGCTATCGAACGTTCTTGAATACCTACAGGATGATACACTTTTGAGGGTCATGTCTGTTTTCTTGGAAACATCAATTTAGACTTATTCGAAAACTGTATGGGTTTCAAGATGAATGCCAAAATAAAATTGAATTAAAAAGTTGTTTGAAACGACCTAAACTTTTATTTCGTGAAGTTGCTTCATATACAGGGTCATTCGTTTTTCCGGAAAGGACATTAACTTTGATTTTTTCCATGGAAGACCCTATATGATTAGAAAATTCTAAACCTTCAGAGGATCACACTTCTTTTATTGTAAAGAACACTACGATACTTATGATAATTTATTTTATTGACCTTTTTTCATGGAGAACTAATTTCCATTGTCATAAAACTAGCGTGTTTGTTTCTAATTGAGAAATAATTAAGCGTTTCGTATTTTGCATCATGTTCACTTATGTAATCCATGGTTCATTGTACCCAAAGCATTGAATTGTAACGGCAATTGAATCATCCATTTTTTATTGATTTGTTTTTTGCTTGACCTTCCGCTCTACTTTTTTATGTCTGAAATTTTTTCGAGAGGAGAGTACTGAATAAATGTGGCATGATTCATGGAAAATTGTGAACTGATCTTTCTTCCAACGCCCGTATAAAATTGAAACTGGTGAATTAATTTATTTAAAATCATCAAACACTAGTTATTCCATTCCATTCACAATTCAATTTAATTGTACGGTTTTAAATTGTTCTGACCTCGTAAAGAAACACATCAGATGTCAACCATAAGTAACTTATCTCGAAACAAACCTTTTTCAATTCACTACTTAGATTTGTTTACTGTGTTTAGTAATTATGTATTGTGCAGGTATAAGTAGGTAAATTTGCTTTTCAGTCACATATGTTATTTATTCAGCTAATTTTGCATCATTTTGGGTCATTATTTATCACTTTATTCTGGGTAAGAAATAGGAAGAGAAGTCTGAAAATAGCTCAATCATCAAAA